AATTTTACAGATAGGACATAAATGACATATTCATAATTCCTACAAAGTTCTACAGAATTTGAGGTTGGCTGCAAAAGGGACATAGTATCTTTAAAGTAACATGTATTGAATTTATGAAAATAAAAACCTCGCTTGAGGATAAGAGAAAGAAAAAATATTCATAATACGCACGCACACAGAATCGGATGCGATAATGTATCATATAATGAGATTAGGACATCGCGAAAAAACAAATAACTACCCTGGTCGAAACCTTGTCCATAATTATTGAGACTAATTATTACTGGTTAGTCCAGAATCTGGCCGATCTTAATTTTGATGTCCACCAGACCGTACCAACGCAAGTATTCATATATTCAAATATTGAAATGCAACGCTAGCATGGCTAACTTAGGTTTTAAAAAGTCGCGCCCGGAAATATAACATAATTTTTCACGCCACGCAAAATCTATAAGCACCCCCCGCCTGCATAATGAATCCAATTTGAGCCCATTGCTCACAGTCTTTAAACCTCATTCTCCTAAATCTTGCATTTTTATTTTTCACTTTTTTTAGGGGGTGGGCACATAATTTTGAGCCTCAGCGGAGTAATTTGTTGTGAAGGTGATATTTTGTGAGGTGAATACTGGTCCTACCCCTACTACCGAGTCTCTCGTGTATAAACGTCTATGTTTAACGATGGTGGCCTGTCTCTTTGGCACTTTTCCCTCTTAACCATGTCATACAATTAACACACTAACCAATGACACACAATGATCAATGGTTGCTCCGACCCCTTCCCTCAACGAGGATGGAGGCAAGGTGAATACTCGCCCCGCCCCTACTCCCGAGTCCCCCGTGAATAGACTACTATTTTGTTTAAAGATGGTGGCTTATTAGTTTTGAGAGGGAAATCAGTCACATTTATGTTTCATATTCGTCTACCTCTTTAAGATACTGTCCTCAAATTTGATATAACCTCTGACCATTCATAAAGAGCGTATCAACTTGCTTATAATGAGGAAGATAAATTATCCTATCTAACGGTTGATGAACACGCAAGTCGCCATGCAAGGCTCGAGAAACACTTCACATTATACCTGGGACGTGGTTAAATGTTAACCTCAAAACCAGTCACTTCAATAAAATTGTCCCTTTACACAACGTCTTGCGTGATATCGCGTGATTTGTTCAACATCAATATCACTTATCGGATAGAGATAAAGGAGCTCCCTACCTGTGTAAGATCAACCGTCGGGGTTATTATGCTGGTTCTCTCATTGACTATAATGCTATGAGAGTCAGATAGGCGTTATAAAGCGTCTAGCAGAAACCATAAGGGTGTGTCAGAAAGCCTCATATCCATACTATGTTTCAGATAAATTATATCAAAATTTGAATACGCAAGTGAATATCTCAATCCTTGAGAAGTGGAATTGAGAAGTAAGCAGGCTATGATTATTCTCTCGCATATTATATTACTTTGATTGTGTAAAGAAACTAAAATATTAGATGTCAAACACTGTTGTTTCCGGCCCCCCTTTGAATTTCCATTATTTTCCTCTCATACTCTCCTTCTCTCTCTCGACTTTCTTCTTCACCCCCCCCCCTGCGTCCTTTCTCGCTCTCTCTCTTTCTCTCACGCACGTACACATACGCACACACACGCGGACATGCGCGCGCACACACATGCAACCAAGCATGACAATGACAATGACAATGACACGTTTATTATTCTCATGTCACCCACATTGGGGTATTGGAGAAGTTTACAATCAGTTTGAATTTGTCAATTGAATACTGTAAAATATACAATACAAATAGAATAAATGTTAATCAATACAAATTAACACTTTCGACGAAAGTGAAAAAATTATGATGATAATGATAATAATAATAACAATAAAATATTGATAATAATAATTGTAATAATAAAAAACAAAACGCACACACGCGCGCGCACACGCAACACACACACACACACATATAGCTAGCATGATTTTTCCTCAACTCAGGAAACTCCCGAAACACATAGATCAACACATATTTTAACGTTATGAGATGTATAACAAATCCAGGAACCACCTCATCCAATAATAATTGTGATCACGCTAAAATGCCTTGAACATAATTGGATACAGACGTCTAAATAAACTCCAGTTCTCAGAATTTGCTTTATTCCTTCAAGATGATTAGCAAAAACTACATCACAAATAATATACTCTTTTTACTATAATGAAATAATAAAAAACGATCGTTAGTACAGATTATTCAGGCCTACACTTTATACTAGCGTTGCATTTAAACGAAACTACATATTTCACTAGTATTATAGTACAGTGCATAATATGTTCTTTCAGGATTACACTTGCATATACGATTAATCAATGATTACTCTTTCAAAGAGCGAGCTAACACTTTAACTAAGTTCATTTGTATCAAAGCAGAGAAATAAAATAAACAGGACAATTTGAATTAGATTTGAGATCACTAAGTCTATGCGGATATGAAATTGGTAGTTTGGTAAGTGAATTTCTGAATTGTGGCTGAGTCGCGGATAACTTTCCCGTCGGTGGTGCAATCTTGGCAAAGGTGTGACGAACAATTCTGAAACTTTGCACATGGCATATATATTTGTTTATGTTGTTAGGATGTGTGTATCCATTGTCGTGTCGAGGGATGAGGGGGCTCTAGGGATTGAAGCCCCCTCACGCGCGGATCTCCTCCCTTGCGTCATATTCCAATAAACTACTCTAAATAGCAAGCAGAAAATCGGAGAAGCAGATTGGTGAACGAATGTTATTAATTTTTGGAAGTTGTAATCACTACAGTGTGTATAAACATAGAGCGTACCCAACTTTTGTAGCTCCTTATGAAAAATTCATAACCAAAATGACTTTGAAATCTATTTTAACGATGGAGAGTAACTTCTTTCCTGTCAAACGACACCCTATTAATGATATTTCTGCCACGGGTGACAGAGCACCAGGGTCTTTAAAAAGTGTTGTCAAAATCGCTTTACAGTACCAAGTTTGGGCAAATGCAACGAATGTGGGTCAGGCCATATGCATGTGCTTCTTTGGTCTTAAATAATTTTAAATGTTAAAATTATGCTTTATCCTTCGGTGCATCATTGTTTAACATTATGCGATGTAACTATGCTTTCACAGAACCTTGTTTCAATCCACATAGAATAACCTTTAATTATTTTAAACAGCCTAGTTACTTCTTGTCTCATGATATCTACATTCTCTCTGCTCACTATTTTTGTCAGCTGCGTCATTTCACACGCGTAAGGAGCATAAGGTGTTTATCTTGAATAGCGTATGAAAACTCAAAGGTTACTAAACCTAAATGCAAGAAGGAACAAATATGATGGTAATTATTTGTCCTTCCTTCGGCAAGAGATTTTGAATAAATCTATAGATTTATATATATATATAAATTACACAAAAATCTAAAAAGAGATCTATGTCATTGAGGAACATTACACCGCCTCAAGTGAAAAAGAAATTAAAACATTTACTGTACAAATGTAGTGAATAACCTAAAATTGACATCTTTGCATTGTTAATGAAAGTTAATCGGATGACTTTAAACACAAATTCAACCCTTCATCCCTTTATTCGCTAGCGACTAATGATTTACAAATCACATTACATATAACCTCTTTCTATATCATTTCGAAAATAGCCACATTGATTAAGTTTCGTTATAACTCTTGTAACAATTGCAATAGATAAGTACCGTAGAATAAGCTTATAGAAAATGAATTAGTATGAGCATCAAGATAAACGTATTACCAACTGTGTGTATTGCATAGCATGTTCATCATTTCAATTTCAATTTATTTATGTTTTCCAAAAAACATTACAAATCGATTATAAACATTTACAACAACTTAGGAATACATATTGGAAACAGAGGGGTCAACTAAAAAGCAATTCTTGTATAACTGTGGACCCCTCAAATTATACTTATGAATAATGAGTAATTAAATTAACAACTTTACAAGGAACTACAAAATAGGTTTTAAAAAATGGGGGGGGGGGGGGGTCCAACAGAGGCGAGAACGAGACAAGACAGCACTTTACATGACAAAAGAACACGGTCACAACACAAAGGAGTAGACAATGCCAAAAGGGAGTGAGAGATCGGGGGTACAGGAAATAATACAGAAGGATGAGCTGCATGTGGGTTGAGAAGAAGTTGAGGACAGAGAAATGCGCATTAGAAAGGAGATAAGCATGACAGGGCACAATATAATATATCAAATTACATCTTGAGTCAGCGAGTAGAGAATGATCTTGTATTCAACAAAAACACCAACAACAACTTATACTTCCATGAGGTTTATATGATTGTAATCAAAATTTTTCCTTAAAAATACCATTCGACGGAGTATTTTTTATTTCATTACTTAAGGAATTTCAAAACTTTGGACCTTCTTAATGTGTTTTTTTTTAGCTAAGAGGGTCCGCAAGAGAGGTAAATAAAAATCCTCCGAATGTCTTTTTGGGTAATTACGGGCTGAGCTGTTAAAAAAAACATAATTTTCTTGAAAAACAGATGGCAACATATTATTTTTTATAATCATACATTAATTGACCTGGCTGGACAAAATATAAGTCTTTTACCTCAAGTATACTCTTTTCCAAAAATTTAGAGTCTGTATGGGAGCGAAAGGATAATTGTTGATCCAGCAAGCATTAGCGTACGCAGAATTGGGGGGGGGGGGGGGTAACATTTTTAAATCGGGCCGAAAATTTCGCAACGACTCAGCCAGTCGCTGAATAAGCGGGGGGGGGGGGGGTAAGAGGACCCTTTTTTTTTTGGTCTCGAAATTTGAAAAATTGACATTTTGTTCCGTTGGGGTAACTTCGGTCAGCCATTGGCATAATTTGTTTTATTTTTTATTTTTTTATTAAAAAAAAAAGGGGGGGGGGGGGTTTGCTCCAAAATACACACATAAAAAAACTGAAGGGGGGGGTTTAACCCCCCCCCCCCCCTGCGTACGCGCCTGCCAGCAAGTATCAATGTTGGCAACATACACCTTTGCCACGCTTGGGTTGCTTCTATATTATTTCTTCGTAGGTGTGTCCCGGGTCTGATGTATGGGGATCGGTAAGATTCTGGTAATTAGGTGTGTCAGTATTAGGATTTTGGTGTGTATGGGTGTCCGTGTCATCATATGCAGAGTTCCCATACTTCGAAGAGGCCTCTCGTGCAGTATTTGGTGGCCACGCGGTTGGCTCGGCCGGTTCAGCGTTTAAACGTCTTTGTTTGATCCTGGAAGTGAAATTCAATTCAAAACAACATTTATTTATTTCTCCTTTGTAACATCATTGAATTTACATGCTTCCTGAACTAAATTAGTGTAAGGCCTTTAAACAAAAAAATATGTTGTATTGCCCTTTGCGACCGACCCCAAAATCTAGAAATCTTCGATCGGCTTTAAAGCATTCAAAACGGAGAAATATCAGCCTAAAGAGGGAGAAGAAGAAAAAAAAAAGTTATTAAAAAAGAATTCTGGCCGACCGACCCATGTTTTGGCACCTAATGCTAGGAGTCCACTGGGCCAGCGCCAGTTCGCGCCAAAGATTTATGTGATTGGCGCGTAGTGGCTCGCTGTGGCGCCGGATTAATGTCCGCTCGGCATGTGTCGCCAAGTGGAATAAACTGGGTGCCATATGGCGACACTAGGCGCCACAGTAAATTGCATTGGCGCAAACTGGCACCAACTGGCGCTGGCTCAGTGGACTCCTAGCATAAAGGGCAATACCACCGGAGTATTGGCTCAGTCAGTAGAGCGTCCGCCTCACAACCGGGAGGTCGTGGGTTCGAACCCCGGCCGCGTCAAACCAAAAGACGTTAAAAGATGGGAGTTGTTGCTACCTTGTTTGGCGTTCAACAATAAGGGATAGAGCAACGTCGATCTGGCGCTGCTCAGTGGCTACCGGGCTCACGATCAAATGGGCAAAATAAATTTTCGTTTCGGTTTAATAAAATTTGGTGTGGACCAATAAAGATTATTATTATTACAACATCTTTTTTGTTTTAATAGGCCAAATGAACATAACCAAACCACCCATCATTGTAAAGGAACACAACAGAGGGTAATTTTAAATCTTTGATTTTATTTTGTTCACGAATGTATTGGGTAATTCTGTAGTTTTGTTTTTTAATCATCTTTTTGCAATTTATGCCAAAAAAATGCAAGGAATTTTGTCATTGCTTTTAGTGTTGTCTGTACTTTGTGTCTGTATACAGTGTATTTCAACTATTTTAATGACCCTTGGACAATGGTCTTTCTGTCACTTACCTTCTAAAGATGACGAGGACGAGAATAATGACCAGGATGATGATAATAAGGGTAGCCGTGACACCGCCTACTATCGGGCCTACTGATGGACTGGGAGGGCCACCTATAGTGTCGAATAAATGAAATATGACTCGTATTATGTACCAATCAAATACCGGTACAGGAATCCAGTGGCTTCTGTAGCTTCTGTATCTAGTAAAGCCTATGGGGAGTGGGAAATTCAGAATTTATTCTTATTTGTTTATTTATTCATTGTGTGTGTGTATGTGTGTGTGTGTGTGCGTTCGTGTGTGTTCGTGTGTGTTCGTGTGTTTGTGTGTGCGCGTGTGCGTATGTGTGTGTGCGTGTGTGCGTGTGCGTGCGTGTGTGTATGTATTATGAAATCAGGAAGATTAGCCACTTTAAGTATCAATATATGTTTGCAATGTTGACAGCTGGTCACAGAAGGAGTTCCTACGAGTAAAGGTTGGATCGCTGCTGTTTAGGAGTTCAAAATCATGTATAGAAGAACCAATATGCTCTCTCAAAGTATGTGTTTAGAACTTACAGCGTACCAATGATAGACCCTTGCAATGGGTTGTTTGTTGTCCAAAGATCCATTTTTGCCATGATTTGCGGGATCTCGAGGTCAACAGATTAATTACAAGTGGCATTCTATATCAAAACTGTCTTAGTTAAACTTTGTTCGTTGCCATTTTGAGCATAAAATATACCCTATAGGAATAGAGTACTTGGCGCAGATACATGTTTGTTTCTGTCTCAGGAAGTAAAACATAACAATTCTTAGTTCCAAAAATTGTTCAATGCAGATACTCTTGGGCAAAATGGGCCATCCATTGAACATAAGGGACTAAAGAAGTTACGATTACCTTGAGATACACACATCTACCAAGTACTAGCAGCTAAAATAGAACTTTGTGGAAACATAATTATGGTCCCTGTATAAATTATTGGAATGAGTAGGATTTAGTAGTCAAAGTTTAAATTTTCATGGAAAAGGTTTTTATGTATGAACACAATAGTGATAAGTCTAATAATGTACTTACCTGATGGTATCGTCTTAGCATTCACAGGTTCTGACCAATTGCTAGGACCGGCTCCATTAACAGTCTGTACCTATATATTATTAAACATGGATATCATTACACAAATAATTCTTTAACGTTTATATTTTTTCTTTAAAATGAAAAACGTTTACTTATAAAAAAGGGAACTTGCTCTTTCATGCTATTTCCAAAATTGAACTATATTTTATAAAAGCACATATATAGCTGTATATAGAGGCTAAGTGCTGAGGTCAACTCTAAGACAACAAAAAAGCTGTAAAAAATTGTTTTATACATCGCATCTCAATTGCGGATTCTCAAAAAGGGATATTTGACAAAAACATGCCATTCAGACGTCTTCAATAGGGCAATTTACCAATCTGAATGTAGCGCATCCTTGCATTGTACGTTATGCATTATGCATTATCTTCATTATTTATTCAATTCAGCATTTTCCCTCTTACGACGGATTACTGACTATCACACCCTTCCTCCACTTCTTCTTGTCTCAAGCATTATCCCCCTTTCGACCAACCTTACTGCTTTTTTTCTTCTCCATATCTTTCTGTAAAATCTTTGGTCTTTATTTCCCTCTGATGCCATCCACTTCCAGACACCACGCTCTTTTCACAAGTTCATCATTTTCACTTCTCAAACATGACCCATACTTGTTAATCCTCCCCTCCCCTTTACCACTTCCAACAGTTTTTTTTTAGGCCCAAACTTTCCATGCTGTATATAAGTACATGACATGTATTACCTGAACTGAGTAGTTGGACTTTGCTGTCAGGTCTACCACAGTATGCTCTCCTTCAAACGCACCATTCAATACTTCCTCCATCTGAAAGTCACCATCAACAACGGGATCAATTTGCTTGAAGCGGATGATATACTTCTGGATGTTACCATTGATGTTAGATGGTAGAGGTGTAGACCAGGATACAGTGAAGGAGCTTGTAGTACTCCGTGGTATAGCCACATTAATAGGACTAGGTGCAACTGTTAAGGGAAAACATATAATAAGAGTCTATATTAACAAACTTTTATCAACTTTGTATGTGAGGATGCAAATTTCCTTTTTGGAGGAAGGAAGGGGAGGGTGGGTAATGGTAAGGATTATATGAATGAATGGTGGTGGTTATTTCACCAGACTGCTAAGAAAGCATAAAGGCTTGTAAGTAAGCAACCAGACGGGCGACGGCTTAAGGTCCTCTCCGAGGGATCTGGTAATGAGGATTAATGCCTTACCAAGGGCACTAGCGCATCGCCTTGGTTTCGAACCCGGGTCACCGGACCACTGCTCTACCGACTGAGCTATCGCGCCTCCCTAAACATTATTAGATGAGCAAACAAGAACCTCATATACCATTATTTAGATAAAAGTTAAATTCTTTGTCCAGTAAATGTTCTTATAAAGAGTTGATGTTGATTGCAACTATGTACATATCAAGAGATAAGAGACTGCAAACTTGCGATTGATTAGAGGAATTGCAATTAATTTGGATAATCCACAACTCTTTATGAGATGGGGGCCTAGTAGTACTTTGTCTTGTTTGACATTGATTGCAATAACAATGTAAGTTAATGTCATACAGGTTTCATATAGACAGCTAGCTATTACAAGCAGCAGACTGAAACAGTCCTTTACATACCAAAACACAAATTCATTATAAACTATTAAACAATTACTCATATGAGACGGGTCTCAATAATCACAGGCTATGGTCTACAAAATATATATTAAATTCAAGCTGTTTTTATATTATTTTCCAGCATAACAATACTTGCACCAAAAGAATGACAAAAACATTTATTCTGTACTCGGCAGGAAAACTCTCACTTTCTTCACTTCGTTTTGCGGATAGTACGATTCACTGCTTCTGTCAATTCTCCTCACCTTAACTTGTCAGCACTCGTTGGGAAATGTGTTCAACTCAAACTATAATAAAATAATTGATAGCGATTTGCACATATTTTACTATTTATATCGGAATTAGACTATTTTCCTTAAAAGCATATTTTGGATCTTATTATTACTGACCAAGAAGACATGATTAAATCATTGGTTACCTCTTCTCCAATAGGCAAGAGCGACCATCTAGTACTTGAATTCAAAGTAGTGGTGTCGAACATGTCTTGTAAAACCACCAACCTGGAACACTATGCATTCTTCAAGGGATATTTTGAAGGAATAAGGAAATTCGTCTATGAAAATGAGGTGTGTGATATACATATGACCCATACAGATGATGTGCTAAATTGTACTTGCAATGCTATTGTTGAACGGATCAATGAAGTAACAAATACTTTTGTGCTTAAATTCAAACCGAGAGCAAAGGATAGACCCTTATGGATGAATGCTGCTGTTAGAAAAGTAATTTGTGACAAACATAAAGCCTGGAATCGTTTCCATAAAACAAGAAACCAACAAGACAGAGATAAGTTCAAGAAGATTAGGAACGAGGTCACCAGAATAGTTATTGAAGCAAAGAAATCTTTTGAAAAGAAACTAACTTCAGATCTGAAAACGTATCCAAAATGTTTTTGGAAATATGTGAAAAGTAGAACAAAGACAATATCTTCAATCGGGTCACTGGAGAAACCCGATGGTTGCTATGCAGAAACAGACACTGAAAAAGCTAATACATTGAACATTTTTTTTGTCTCTGTATTGACGAGAGAAGATTTAGCCAATATTCCTAGCTGTGATCTGAGAAGAAATGTTACAACCCTGGACAACGTTGAATTTGCAGAATCTGCTGTCAGAGAAGCAATCAAGAAGCTCAATCAGACCAAATCCCCTGAACCTGACAATGTACATAACCGTATTCTGAAGGAAATTGGGGATTAAATTGCTAAACCTCTCATTGAATTGTTCAATTTGTCGAAAGGTCAAGTCCCAGGACGATGGAAGAAAGCCTATGTTACACCTAAATACAAAAAGGGTGATAAGAGGAAAACAAGTAATTACCGTCATGTGAGCTTAACCAGTACTTTGTGCAAGATGATGGAATCTTTCACCAGAGATGTGATAGTTGACCATATGGATAGGCATGAACTGTACACAGACAATCAATATGGTTTTAGGAAAGGCTGATCTTGCGTCACACAACAACTCGATGTATCTGAAGCTTGGTACAAGGAGCTTGATAGTGGAAGAAGTATTGATTGTATATATCTTGACAGTAAAGTAAAGCATTCGACACTGTCCCACATCAAAGATTGCTACAGAAAAATGAGTCGTACGGTATTTCAGGTATTATCTGTTGAACTGGATCCAGTCCTTTTTAAATGAAAGATTTCAACAAGTGATGGTTAACAGAATGACGTCTACGGAATCCAACGTTATGAGTGGCGTTCCGCAGGGGAGTGTGTTAGGGCCCACCCTCTTCCTAATCTATGTGAACGACCTGCCAGACGTTATTCAGTCTAATGAATGTAAAGTTAAGCTTTTTGCAGATGATACCAAGCTGTACTCTTCAATTGCTAACATCGACGACGGAAAGACTCTTCAATCGGAACTAAACAACCTTCTTGTATGGTCTAGAACATGGCAACTCCCTTTCAACATTGAGAAATGCAAAGTCATCCACTGGAAGAAGTAATTCCTTGTGTGACTACACTATGAACGATGTGAACGAGCCATTACCTGTAGTTCAACATGAAAAAGATCTGGGATTAATATTCGATGATAAAATGTCCTTTTCAAATCACATTGACACTGCTTGCAATGCTGCAAACCGGAAATTAGGAATCATCAAGCGCACTTTTTCAACTATGGACAACAAGGGACTCACACATTTATACAAGTCAATTGTGAGACCGGCAATAGAATATTGCTCTCCCGTGTGGCACCCTTATAAGAAGAAACATATTCTCAAAGTGGAAAAAGTTCAACGTCGTGCAACTAAACTCCTTCAACCTCTCAGAAGTCTTCAGTACAAGTTACGGCTAGAGCAACTAAATTTGCCTTCATTATCATACAGACGTCATAGAAGCGACATGCTACAGGTCTATAAGATAATGCATGGAATCGACGACCTCCAGTCAACTAATTTCTTTCATCGTACCACTGTCACAGTAACAAGAGGTCACCAGTTCAAACTACAAAAGAAATATGTAAAATCTAAATTGAGGCAGAGCTCTTTTTCACAGAGAGTAGAAAACGAATGGAATGGTCTCCCATCATATGTAGCAGAAAGTCCATCACTCAATTTTTTCAAATCAAATCTTGACAAGTACTGGTCACTGAAGAAGGACAATTTAATCCTGATGAACTATTCAACTGTCCATGTTCATCCGTAACTGCATAACGCCAAATTCTACAGTAAACCACTAACGGACACCGAGGGGCAAATATTTTTTTTTATAACTTTATGCCTACTTCGAAGGTATGATATCCAAGGTATGGTAAGAATCCAAGATAACTAGCTGATGAAGTCTCACCTTCTTCAATTGTTTTGCCGATAATCTCACTGCTCCTATCACTCTCCACGTCTTTATTTGATGCACTTATTTGGATGGTATAGTCCAGAAAGGTATCTAACCCTCTTATCACACAGGAGCTATCGTCACGAGAAACCAAGATAGAGTTTGAAGAAGTTGATCCAGTGGGAGCATAGTAGATCATATAATGAGTCAATCCACTCCTGCATTCTGCTGATTCTGAGGGAAGATGCTGAAATATAAAGGTGCAAATACATGTAACATGCAGCACAATCACATTAAAGAAGTTACCTTTTCAATAGTAAACAAAACTATAAGATGTTATCATATTCTGCCTACAGTTTCTCGCATTAATTATGATGCTGTAATCAACGTGATGGAGCATTCTGCTGAACAAGTATCTCATGTTCACGAAACATATTTATATCAGCTTCTTACTTTGAAATTAAATTTAATCTGTATTATATAGACCCCAAAGCACACACTTTCAACTGGCAAACATAGACATTTGTACACTTGTTTTCAATTAGGAAGCACTTCATTTAGTTAAATTTTGAGGTACGTGAAGAATGCCAAAGGCATATCAATGAAGTAAGTGAATTAACCGTTCATATTTGACATATCTTGATGAAGTTTAGGTAAAATCCCGGGGATCTCAGCTGTTATGTCGGAATACTGTAAGCAAGCGTGACCACAGGTTTTCCTGACACCCCTAAACGAGGATTTCTTCTGAAACAAAAATACCCCCTAAATGATATACGCGTTTTTTTCTTGGTAACGCATGCTAGCAGTATATATATTTGACTGAGACCCCAGGGGTAAAATCAAGTCTAATCAGGGTAGTATATTTACCAGCTTTATGGCCTAACAGTATGGTTTTACCTCAATAAATTGTGGCTATTAAAAATTATATATTTTGTATTCTGGACGTGTCTTTTCATCCAACTACATTTCACTAAAGCTATGGTCACAAATCAGAGCAGCGACCGACCGATCAGTAGCCTGCTCGGTCGCTGCTGGAAAAAGGCATCGCCCAGCGATTAGGTCGGTGCCCGGGCGGCGACCGCCCAGGCAACGAGCGTATTTTGGGCGGCGAGTGAAAAGTGAGCAGGCGCCGCCCAAATTTTAACTCCGCGCTAAAACTTCAGCGGCGACCGAGCGATGCCCTAAAAACGAGCGGTGCCTGGGCGGCCGCCGCTCGGTGACCTGGCAGCCGCCGGGCAGAATTGGTTAAAAACTCGCCGCTCGGCCGCCGAGCAGGCTACTTTTGGGTAATGTGACCATAGCATAAGTGACCAAAACAGCTATTCTTCAAACAGTTCATACCTCCCATGTCACCTCTAGCTCTTTAGGGTTGATGGCTGAAACTTGTAGTCCAGTTGGAGAAGCACTGGGTTCTGAAGTTTAAAATTATGTAGAAAATACTAAATGGCTTGGACCTGCAGTAGATGAATTCATTACATGTACATGCATGTCATGGTAAAATCATACATTGTTACAACATGTACTCTTCATGTGGTTTTAGATCAAACGTCAACTAGTGAAACATGAAACTAACCACGGGCAAAGCACAATGAAGGATACTATATTTCAGTTGGGAAAATGCATATTTTATAAAATACATTTCCTGTTTCAAATATTAGAAAGATAGAACAATTAAAAGGAGAGTGTATGGAATTGAAAATACAAATATTTCTATGGGACAGATGTTACCCACAGAACTATATAAGTTAAAGATCCTTCAATCATTGGAAAAATGCATAAATATCCAAATGTATTTACAAATAATTTACTTATATTGTAATACATGTACTTTCTTGTAGATAAATGTAAATTTAAAAATAAGTATCTTAAAAATGTTTATTCTGCACCCTGAAATCATGACAAACCCTGAACAGATTCAATTACTTATCTTCTGAACATAACTTACTTCTACAGCGAGTTATTGTGTTGTTCCAAGGAGACACGGGTCCTGTTCCGCCGGTTCCTTCCCTCACTGCTGCTACACGAAACTTGTAATCTGTGTCGGGTGTCAGGTTACTAACGATGGCTGATGTTGTGACTTGGTTTACTCTCTGATCCGTTACCCAGTCACTTTCCTTCTTTACAAAGACATCATATCCTATCAGAGGAGGATCACCAATTTCATCTTCTTCAGACCATGCATTCCATCGAAGACCAACTGTAGTTGACGTGGTGCTCACTATCACTGGTTCTTTCTCTATGACTGGCAGAACTGACAAAAAGGAAAAGAGACAGAAATAATTAATACAATTAATTGAGATAACCGTCAAAATCAATGACAATGACACACCTATCATCTTTAAGTTTCTCCCATCAAGTTAACGTGAAAATAAAATTTATCAAAGTACAAAGAACAAAACCTAATATATTTCATGTAACCCTGTAAGCAGATAATGTGACTGCGAATGATTCTGCATTTAAAGATAGTGGATTCCTGCTTTCTATTACAAACGTATCTCACAGAAGTACAGTAGAGTAAAGCGATGACACGCAATTTGCTCACCATAGGTTGCGTTGGTAACGGGAGTACTGGGATAGCCTACATTTTCAACAATAAGAATGCAAACGTATCTCCCATATTCCTGTGGATACACACTATCAAGATCAAAGACAACAGCTCTTTCTGACCCTGAGACAATGCTAAATCTCCTGGTGATTCCCGTCCTGTCATTTATTTCTCCAGTACGTCTGTAAAGATCAACTGAGGATGCATCGGGAAGTGGGATACCCTCAACATAACATGTGAAGCTAGATGGTTGGTATGGGTTCACTCTCACTGGAATCAATCTTGATATTCCTGTCAAGAACCAAACCAGACATTAAACACTAAATTATGCACATCGACATATCGAGACATAGCTAACCCTAAGGCCAATCATTTTATTAGAAATCCGCTCGCTTTATGTAGATAACTTACAATACATATGACAAACAAATCCTACATGCACTTTGTAAAACATTGACCATCAACATATTCATCAATAAAAGAATGAATTCGATTCTTCGAAATAGTTCGAAAGAATATCCAATTACTGATAATCTTGTTGTTCCTGTCAAAAACCAAGCATAAGTACAAATCATTACATAAAACTATATATATTTAGAGGAATAGAAGAATTCAACCCAGTCATTTCTTGATAGTAATTTTAACTATGAAATTACTGGGTTGAGATCTATAATGTAATATATTGATATGTAATACACTTTAACATGTACATACATAAACAAGGGAAGATCTTAATCTGATGATTTTGTTTAAAGTTGAATTGCTCAATGTATATCAATGCGATACTCCTGGCAAGCAAATCATACATGCGTCGTGTCACCACTGACTATTATCATTAAGATGTCTATCCACTTAAGAAAACTATTTGGAGTAAAAAAAAATTTAAAAAAAAGAGTATCAAATAACAGATAATCATTTGGAGGATTTTCATATTTTTATTTTACATTACCGTTATACTTCCGCGTTGTATCGTGTAGGAGAAACTTCATTAATAAAGATTGGACTTCATACAGAGCAAAACATACAAAATAGTTTGCGAACCTATGTGCACATGTTCAAGTGTGTGCAACAAACAAGATAATACTCATAATCATAATGGCTATTCATATAGGGCCAGTATCACCCAGGTACTGATGCTCATAGGGCTCTAGAAAGAAATTAAACTGAGGTAAAACTTGTAAAAGTACTTGCTCCACAAGCGTCTGGAGCAAGATTGTGAATAACATCTAAAAATAAGGAAATACATGCACATATAGTTGTATACATATATATGCACTCTGAGATAGTTTTCATCCGAGCCATTTTTAAGCTGAACAAGAAAAGAAACCAGAGCACAAAATGCTAGGTATAATTACTTTGGCAGTATGGTCCAATCCATGTATCAAGGCATTGTCCATTACACAAACCTCTCTGCTTCTCACAAGCCTCTGGAGTACAGTGACATTGCTGACGACAATCCAAACCAAAAGTACCCCCTTCACACTCTGAAAAAATGAAACAAAAGTCGAATATATTGGAAACATCTGGTCAATAAACATATCTCAATACCAAAGCCTATACTTTGGCACACAAATCAAGTCATTTCAATCAGGTAAAATTATTCGATTTTACTTGGCTCACGTCTTTGTGAGTAAGTTTAACTTGATAATAATAGTAATAACAGTAATGTATTCATATAGCGCATTTTCCATATACATGTTCAAATGCACTTTACAGTTATATGATTAACAAAAGAGGTGAGTTTTTGAAGGTATTGACATATTGTTGGTTAGAGATATGGGTAGATTATTCCACAGTTTGGGAGCAGCAGTTGTGAAGGCTCTATTATCAAGTGTGGGAAGCATCTTTGGAGATGGGTGGTTCAACGTAATGCCTTGAGAGGAGCGAAGGGAGTAGCGGAATGGTTGCCTGGTAGTTATACGTTCAGAAAGGTAGGGAGGAGCCAGACTATGGATGCATTTGAAGGTGAAATGAAGTATGTTGTATTGAATCCGGGACCTGATGGGTAGCCAGTTCAATAATTGACGAACGGAATAGGTTTCATTTAACAGAACTTGGATGAACCTGTGGCAAGTCTGACGGCAACATTTTGAATTAGCTGTAGTTTCTCAATGTGGGTTGCAGTGGCACCATAGAGTAGATCATTACAGTAATCCAAGTGGCTGGTGATGACGTGGATAAGAGTGAGTGAATGACAACTGGTCTAGACAGGCGCGGATCAAGGATTTCTTAGGGGGGGGGGGGGGGGGGAGGAGGCCCAAATTTGAAATTATGCGAGCCAAATATTGGTAGTGACACCGGCAGTGGCGAAATGAGCAAAACACGTGTTGTGGGGGGGGGGGGAGAGGGGTAGACCCCCAAAATATCCGCATCAACCCACTCTTACATGCAGGGCCCGCTGAACGTTTCTCCAAGTAGATGGGGTGGTATTTACGTATTTATTTAAGGTAGAGCGTAACGTAAATTAGCGAGGGGTCTAGAAGCGAAGCCCCAGTGGGGGTCAAGGGCTGGAGCCCCCAGAGTCCTAGGGGTTTTATACATTAAATTACTGTCAGATGAACATTGTTTAGATACCTTAGTTGTGACACTGGCAGGACACAAATTGGTGTGGGGTCCAGGGGGTGGATCCCCCAGAAGCTCAGGGGGTTTTACACATTAAATTACCGTCAGATGAGCATTATCTTGATACCTTAGTTGTGACACTGGCAGGTCACGAATTGGCATGAGGTTCAGGGGGGGAGTAACTTACGGAGGCTCAGGGATTTTAGGCAATAGATTACGGTCAGATGAGCATCTTGGGGCTCGCCTTAGGGCTACTGGTTGGGTTCAGGGGCAAAGCCCCGGAAGCCCATGGGGTTAGGCATTTATTTACAGTCAGATGAGCATAATGATACATTTTTTGTGACACTGGCAGGTCACTAATTGGCTTGGGGTCCAGGGGATGGAGACTCCAGAAGCTCAGGGGTTTTTAAGCAATAAATTACCGTCAGATTAACATCCAGGGGTTCGCCTTAGGGCCCTAGGTGGGGTCCAGGGGGCAGAGCCGCCGGAAGTCAAGGGGTTTTAGGCATTTAATTACGGTCAGATGGGCATATTTTGATACCTTATTATCTTGTGACAAAGGCAGGTCACTATTCTTTCTTTATTTCTTTAGGAATTTTCCATTTTCCAACATATGTATGATTTACTAAAGATTGAGGAAAAAATTATGCCATTTCAGCAACATTTGTAAATCACCAGTAAACCACGATTGAATTATATTTGGGGGGCATCTGTCACCCCCCCATCAGTACGCCAGTAGCCCCCCCCCGATCTACACCTTGTTGGCGGGAAAATTGCAACTTCCCCCTTCTTTTCTTTTCTACTTCCTCTTTTTTCCTTCCCTTTATCTCCTCTTTTTCTTTTTTTTCCCTTTCCTTCCTTCTCTCTTATTTTTGATGGGGGGGGGGGGGAGAGTAACAGCTAGTTGGCAAGGCTCTTTCGGCCCCCGATCTCCTTCTTCCCCCTTATCTTTTCTTCTTTCTCTTCTTTCTTCCCTTTCTCTCCTCTTTCCCTTCCCCTTATTTTCCTTCTCTCTCTCTCTCTCTCTCTCTCTCTAATGGGTCTAGGTCTAGATACTTGCGAATTCGACGGATATTGTGTAGAAGAAAGAAGGCTGCTTTGCATGTAAGAGCACATTTAAACAAAAAAATTGTCCCGAAAATTTGAAAAATTGGCCGACATATATTTCGTTCAGTCGGGGGGGGGGGTAAGGTTTTTTTTTGTTTTTGTTTTTTGTTATTTAAAAAAAAATTCAGGGGCGGTTCTTCAAAACACATACATAAACAAACATGAGGGGGGGGGGTCCCTGCGTACGCGCCTCGTGGGGGGTGTTGATTTCTGCATTGCTGACTCGTGCCAATAATGAGGAAATCTGTCTTGTCATCGTTGATCAGCAATCTATTGCTGATAAGAAGTAAAGGTCCATAAGTGTGATGGCATTTTACACCATTCAAAAAGAGATATGAAACCGAATCTGGTAACTAAATTATTTTGTTTCTAAATACACAGGACGGGGTTAATTATCAATAAAAGAAACCACACCTTCAAGTTAAAAAAGCCCCGGAATGATAGCATGGACGGTAGTTGTTCCCTCTTGAAACGCCGAACATATGGCGGTGTACAGGGGCGTACGCAGGATTTTTTCGATGTGGGGGGGGGGGGGGGGGGGGTGTGTTAAACTTTGAAAATTTCGCAACGACTCAGCCAGCCGCTGCATAAGCGGGGGGGGGGGGGGGGGGGGGTAAGTATAATTCATATACAGTCAACAGCCTTAATTGTTTAATGATATTGTTGGTATGGGCCAAATAATGAGACTTGGCAAATATGCGTATTACACGTTTTTGCAACAAATGTAAAAGATTTAACAATATATTTGATGCATTCATCCAGAGGATATTCCCATATTGTAAATGAGGTAGAATTAATGAATTGTATAGCAAAAGCAGTACCTTTGACGATAATACAAATTTCAGTTTTGACATAACTCCAGTAATTCTCGAGATCTTCAATGCAATATCATTAATATGTAAAGACCATGATAACTTGCCATCAATATTAAGTCCCAAGAAGCGGGCACTATGAACTTGCCTTAAGGGCTCTAGTGAATCAACAAACTTAAGAGTAAGTAAGTTCTTATCAAATTATTTATTCAATGGTGCAAAATGCATACAATTTGTTTTCTCAATGTTTATCCTTAACCCATTCACTTTGTACCAAATATTAACCTCTTGTATTTCCTTATTCATATTATGGACAATAGTATCTAGTTTCCTTCTCACTTAAAGAGACATTCGTATCGTCTGCAAAAATAATGTATGACAAAGTTGAGGAAACATTTGGCAAATCATTTATATATATATGTGGAAAAAACAACAGTGGCCCAATTATTGACCCTTGGGGCACTCCGCATATAAGTTCTTTTTCAATGAAGTTGCATTATCATAAACAACATATTGTTTTCTTTCCTTTAAATAATCCTTTATCCACTGTAATGGCAAACCCCCCACACCACAGTACTCCAATTTGGATAATTAGGCTTGATGATTAATTGAGTCAAAAGCTTTTGAGATATCCAATGACAGAGTGAATGTTTGCTATCATCAAGAAAGGTAAGTATTTGGTCAAAAAATATGTCATGGCCAATATAGTTGAATGACCAGATCTGAAGCCATATTGAAAATTTGACAATATCCCTCGTTTCTCAATGTAAGACAAGAATCGAGAGTAAAATAATTTTTCCAAGATTTTGGAGAAAAACGGGCAAGAGTGACACCGGTCTATAATTAAAAAACTGATCAAGAGAGCCTTTCTTAAAGATCGGAGTCACCCTCGCCAGCTTCATACTGTGAGGGAATTTACCAGTGGAGAGGGAAAGGTTAAAAATATGTACAAGAGAGCAAGAATGAAATAGATTGATTCTTTAATGACAGAAACAGTTATATTATCATGACCAGGACTTTTACCTATTATCAATGCCTTCACTATATCTATAATTTCATGACCTTCTATTGGTTTCAGAAACATTGACTGTCGATATTGACCATTCATATAAGACCTACACTTATACACTTATCAATATTACTTGTATCTGTGAACGTTGTCCCAATGCTTATGAAATATTCATTGAATTTGTTTGCAATATCAACAGGATCTCTAAGTTGCTTATTATTTTCATCACGAAAACAGTCTTGGTTCTTTCTTTTGATTCCCCTATTCAACATATTGTTAATAATATTCCAGGTTCGTTTACTGCAATTACTTTCTTCAAACTGCTTTGCATAGTAAGATTCTTTTGACCTTCGAATAATTGAAGTTAAAGTATTTCGATACTGTCGGTATCCTTTTTTCCTGTACGCAGAAGGGTCCTTCAAATACTTTTTGTATAGCTCTATCTTTTTCTTACATGATTTTAATATTGCTATTGTAATCAATGGTTTAGATTCCCTTTTTCGGCAACGCTTTTGTTTCAAAGGAAAACAAGAATTCTGTATAATATTAAATTCACTGAGAAATACTTCATAAGCTCTGTCACATGACTCTTCATGCATCACATATTCCCAAGAATGTTCAATCAGGGCAACCCTAAATTTATCACAGTTTGAGCAAGACGTGTCTCTTGTATAAGTTTTATTACATTGATCGCGCTTAAGCCATTCACTATGTTTTGACCGATTAAATACAAAAATTGGAAGGTGGTCTGAAACGTCTGCCAGTAAAATACCGCTTTTTAACACTAGACTTGTGTCATTGACAAAAATATTTTCACTAAGAGTTGAACTTGACTGAACTATTCTTGTTGCCTCTGTATTGAGAGGGGCGTAAGAGTGAAAAAAAAAACATTTCCAAAAAAGAGTTGACATGTTGGTCAGAGTGTACATCCAGTAAGTTTAGATTGAAGTCGCCTAAAAAGTAGCATGTTTTATTTTCGCGACTAACTTTCTCTAGAATATTGTTAAGATCTGTTATAAAGTCGACACAGATTTCTCTTTTTCCTTAGATTTTCTATCTTCAGACCAGTTCATTTCTAAGCCTATATCTTTATTCTTACAAAAACAAATACCAAGTGACTTAACATAAACATCTTCCCATAGAATTTTTCCAACAGTATTTGTTGGATTGTTGGTTCCCAACCAGAGGGCTTTTGTCTTCTTTTCATTTAATCGAATTCCAGAATACTTTTCAATTTGTTTAATAATCTTTATAGCTGTGTTACCTGACATAACTGTACGAACAAATAATGTCTTGTCATCTGCTAACTGTAATATTTTAAATGTTTTCTCATTACAACAAACACTCAAACCTATGATGTTGTTATTTTGTCTTATCTCATTTTGCAAGAGCTTCAATGCTAAGGATAAGCAATAATGCAGATAGGGGACACCCCTGTCTTATACCTCTAGATGTAACATTTCAAGTTCAGTCATTGTAAATGGATGGATATCAGAAACGTTCTCAGTCAAGAGAGGGATTTGTCAAGGCTGTCCCCTTTAGCATTACTGTTCACTTTGGCAGCTGAATTCATGGCTAATAGAGTTAGGAAAATAACATCATTCAGAAATTTTATTTTAAAGGGTGCCACTGTACACTAAAACTTTTATAATATGCTGATGACACCTTAATTTTTGTTAGAAATAAAAATTTATCTAGAGAATACTAAAGATGAATTGGACTTATTTGGAAAAGTCGCTTGCCCGAAATTAAATAAAGATAAAACTGTTCTTTTCTGGATTGGAGATGACAAGAAAAGGTGGTCTCTCTTCGACCTTGATCTGTGTTGGTGAACAGAACCTGTACATTTTATATCTGCAGACTTATATTATGCTATCAAAATTGAGTTGGGAATATAACTTGACCAAACTACATAAACTCCTGGATAACTGGAGAAGCAGAAATCTCACATTATTTGGAAGAATCACTGTTGTTAAATCACTGGCTTTAAGTCTAATAGTTCATTTAATGATGGTAGGCATGATTCCACCAAAGTGTCTGCAGATATTGAATAAATTAGTTTTCAATTTTATTTGGAAATCCACAATCGTCAAGGTAAAAAGGTCCATGCTTACTCAAGAGTATAGCCAAGGAATTTAACATATACAAGGGACCATCGCTTAAGGGAGTTCAATTTTAAATTGCTGTACAATATACTACCTGTTACAAACAATCTTTAAACATGGGGATTGGCAGACGACAGATACTGTCCCAAGTGCCATGTCATAGAGAACATAGTGCATGCGTTTATCGAATGTGAACAGAATAAGAATTTCTTTGATTATATCAAACAGGTTGTAAAGTACACTTTTGATATTGATTTTGTCATGGATATCTCTTTTTTTACTTAAGATTAATATTGACAGAGAGATAGACGTTGTTACAACGAGCATTCTGGTGTATATACAAAATGTTAGTCATCCGGAATAAGGATGGATTTAATGAAAACCGTTTCAAACTAAGATACGTAATTGAAAGAGAAATCAAACAGGTTGTAAAGTACACTTTTGATATTGATTTTGTCATGGATATCTCTTTTTTTACTTAAGATTAATATTGACAGAGAGATAGACGTTGTTACAACGAGCATTCTGGTGTATATACAAAATGTTAGTCATCCGGAATAAGGATGGATTTAATGAAAACCGTTTCAAACTAAGATACGTAATTGAAAGAGAAATCAAAACAGAATTGTTGTAAATCAGGAACTTAAAAAGCCAGACCAGATGTTGCCAAAGAAACTGTTACAAGCACTTTAGATGAAAAGTAGCAAAATATTGTATAGTTGAGAAAAAAATATGTGATTTCTATTGATAACATTGTGCGTCAATTATATTTGTTCTGACAAATTTATTTTGATGTTTGAATGTAAATAAACACCTTGATAACCTTTTCCAATCAAAGTTTCACCTTTGCATTAAGTACAATAAAATTAGTTTTTTTTAATCATTGAACCTTCTCTTGAAAGGTACTATGTCCCATTTGAAGCCTACAGCTATACATCAAATTCTGTACAACTTTGCAGGAATTATTAACATGTCACGTATGTCCTATCTGTGAAAATTAAACGTTAGCAGCGTCCTAATATTCAAATTAATCAAGAAACCCGCTTACTTTATATAATTCACTATCAGACACTAATGAGTGACTGACGGACTTCTTTTTTCTTCTTTAGTTATAACATACATAAAATGGGCTGTAAAGGGCACATGAGCATTTGTCTACACTAATATTAAACCCAATTCATAAAATGGCCAAAATTATAGTGGTTGAATCTTAGGATAATCATTGTTCTGAGCTGTATTTCAACAAATGTATGGGGCTCGGATTGCAATTGGGTTTTAGGTTAGGTTAGGGTCAGATCACTAATGGGTCAAGGGTCGACGACAAGAACTTGGTTAGTGTAGAAAGACAGAGAACAATTGTGGCAGGTGTATATAGGTATTGTATAACAAAGAATGACCGCTAATTTGAGGGGTCCGATAGTTTAATCCACTCAAGTGTGTTCAGGGGCAGGTACAGTTCAAGATCACCTTGGGCAATAGTTTCAACAATGCCCCTCAAAGCAGTTAATATTTGTAGAATCTCCATCCAGAGTATACATGAATAAACATGTATTTACAATCAAAGCACTATGTATATATATATATATATATATATTTGTATATGGTTGATATGACCAATGTACATACATGTACAAGGGTTTAAGAGTGTTCATACATGTGAACATAAAATAATCCTGGTGTGTCATGCACACTGCACCAAACATGATGAACATGTTGTATGTAGTCTGGAGAAAATGAAAGGAATTGACATGGAAAATTCAACACCCTTTATTGAAAAATACTACTTTACCTTGACATTTGACCTGGCCATTGCGTACTTTGTATCCTAGAGCACACTTCTGCTCAGAGCACTCTCCAGTATCTTTACCACATGGGTCATCATTCAAGCAATGACATTTATCAGTGCATTGAGATCCATAGTAACCGGCTTCACATTCATCTGGAACTGGGGATTTTAAGAAGAATATTTTAAAGAACATTTCAGCAAGCATATATAGTTATCGTTGTCATTATTAATATATTTCTTTGCAACAAGTGATTATTTTTATTTTTTTACTATTGATTTCAATTGTTACACATATCCTTGAACTTAACAGTGGCGTCACGAGATAAATTCGTGTATTTTCTAGAAAGAAATCATCTCCTCTATTAATAAACATGAAATGGACCTTGTGGCAGATTAGCCCAGGCGCGGATCCCGGATTTCTTAGGGGGGGGGGGCCAATTTGAAATCAGGCGAGCCAAATATAGGTACGTAATGGTGACCAGCAGTGGCGTAATGAGCAAAAAAGTTGGGGGCAGAAAAATCCGCATCATCCCCGCTCTTACATGCAGGCCCTGCTGAACGTTTTTCAAAGTGGGGTGGGGGGGGGGGGGGTGAGCTAGAGTATTTACGATCAGGTAGAGCTTAGCGTAACTTCACGTGGGGTCTAGGGGCACAGCCCCGGCGGTGGTCAAGGGGCAGAGCCACCGGAAGCTCAGGGGGCATGGGCATTTAATTACGGTCGGATGAGCTTTATGTTGATACCTTATTCATGACGCTGGCAGGTCACTAACTGGACGTTTATAGCAGACGACAATCGGCGGATTAAACGACACTTGGTAGTGAATTTGTATGTGAGATTGCTTTGCTAAATATAAAATACAGTTTCCATATCTTTAAACTATCATTGATATCTGATAATTAAACAGTTATTAAAATAAACCTACCAAACTACATGATACAATGAAATACTTAATATATAACTTAAAGTAGGGGAGTTTGATGTGGTGCACGGGGTAGTGCACAATTGCACCCCTCTGTAAATAATCGAATAGTCCATGGCGATCATGAATATTCATGTTTTTGCTTACCCCGTCAAAATGTTTTTTTTTGGGGGGGGGGGGTGGGGGGGGGGGCAAGGCTCGCTCGGCCTTCCCCTGGATCCTCGCCTGAATTAGCCTGTTGCTAAACAAGTTATCCGATGAAGTCTACTACTACTATTACTACTACTGCTACTACTACTGCTATTACTACTACTACTACTTCTACTACTACTGACTGCTATTACTCCTAATTAAAATGGAATATATGGGAGAAGTTGTCCCCAAAATACAGTATAAGAATGGGTTTGTCTACAACAATAACAAATATAAAACTTCATGTTAACCCGTTGACCACTGAGTTATTTAATTCCAAAAAGGTAAAATACCTGTAGGCAATGGAGTTAAACAATAACAAAATAACAAAATGACACAAATTACAACGCTGCATTGTACATGTAAAATTCTGATTTATCTTATTTGGGGAAAGCCTTTATGTCATATTATTTGTTATCATTGCTCATCATGACTTACTTTGACAGTTATCCCCAGACCAGCCAGTCTGACATCCACCTGTACATATTCCACTATAGATGTTACATGATGAACCACCGCCCGCACAGTGACATGTCTGTGAACATCCTGCACCATATGTAGTATTACATACTGTAATAGAATTCAAAATACAAAATCAAGATGGGCAAATACAATACACTCATCAGAAAGACATGTTGCGCATGTTACAATTATTTCTTCTTCTTCTTCTTTTTCTTCTCCTTCTTCTTCTTCTTCTTCTTCTTCTTCTCCACTGAGTAGCACCTGAACTCACTCATGAATCTAGTCATATATATTATATATATGGCTAGATTATATCACGGTATGTGCTTTTGATATTCCAAGAAAAAATACAATCTTCTGATAATTGTAGATGTGCATGATTGTATGATAACTTTTAGGCCTTCTAGATACATGTATATTCACTATTATAATTTGAGCACAGTTATTAGACTATCGAAAGACTTACATGTCTTACATGTAAGACCATGGGCACCGGCGTCACATGAACATCCATAAGGATCAGGAAGGCAAAAAAGTCTCCCATGACATCGTGAGACACGATCATTGCCAAATGAACATTGAAACTCGCAGTTCAATCCAAATCGATTTCCACCATCAGTTCTACAAACTGAAGAACAAAATAATTGCATTGATGAATCAATCCCTTACAGAATTACATAAGAAGTTAACATTTCATGAGATAATTTTCAAATATAGATTCTTTCCTGTAATCACCTTTGAAAATTATCAAAGGTGTCTAATGCTCTTTAAAAATAATAGTTTTTACTACATTGAATAAAGTCCTCCCATTCCATGGATATCGAAGTTGGTCGATCATAAAAATTAATGTAATTGAGACATTTATTCAGGCGTTATTTAGACATTCATATGGTATTAAGGAATAAGAAACAAAAGCCAATCTTTTCCCTTGCTATATATTATTTTTCATTCGTGTTTTGTATTGATGTATTTGGTATATATACATGTACATGTAGAATGACCCGCAGCTCTGGTAGAGAGGGTCACTTTACAAAGTATTTACAAACTTAGTCATTTACGTTATATAACAGACCGTTAATAATACATTAGAGATAAAACGTTATAAAAAGAATCGTAAATGGTAAATCAACATTATTCTTGAAAACGATTCCTGGTCAAATGAAGCTTTAAAGGAAATATATTAAATTTGAAAAAGACATGATTTATAATACTATTCTGATTTCTCTATATCCTCGGAAGGTAGAAGAATATTTGAAATGAACATAGATGTACATTACTCTGTTCATTTACAATGGAATAAGTCAAGAAAGGTCTTCCTCAATTATTCATCTTTTAAGAAACACAAACATCATTCCACATGAAGTTATACAGTCCTACTTACTTTCTAAACAATTCGGTCCCTTGAAGTTATTAGGACAGATACATAGACCAGACTTGTCATCGCAGATTCCACCATTGTAGCATTTATCACAGATACCATAACACTCAGGGGGACCCCACTTACCAGCAGTGCATTCTAATATGAGATACGAAGAGTAAAACATTATGATGTAAAATACATGTCATTAAAGATTACATTTATATTTTTAAAATATAGATAGGAGATAAGCAGGGTAAAAAAAAATTGAAGTAGAAAATTGAAAAGTCGCCTATAGTTCTCGAATAAAGAACTATAGTGCATTTCATTGGCTTTGTTACATTCTGAATATATTTACAGGTAATTTTGAACTACACCTCTGTACAAAATACATCATAGATTATGACATGCATAACAGCTATACTTTTAAAATTAAATTTGCAAAGGGGAACAACCTGATCATCTTACGGTAATGTGCCAAGCCCAACAGATCAGACTTGGAAATCATCTAGCAGAATGCTATAAATTAACATTTTAAAGAAATGTTCACATTCATTTATTTATTAATATACAAATATGACTGGATATGGAAGGATCATCATCTTTTAACTTGCATAATCCAACCAATCTTAAACAGATCAATATTTTTGGGACAAAATATGTAGCAAAACTTGTTTAAATGCATCATAACAAACAATTTTTTTCTCGGACAACAAATGACCCCTTTCAAGAAGTCTGAATTTAGCACGAATACACTTAACATGTACCTCTGACGATTAGTCTGTATAGTCCTCCTCTATTTTGATTCCTCTCGTTATCATAGTAGATCTCATAGATTCCTTGGTCTGATGTCTGGATTGGGTTTGGGAAGCTGATCTGAGTCTGCCCACGAAATAATGTAAGAATCTCACTTCCATCTTTCCTCCAAGTAATCACATTGGCACTCGCATCAGGATTACTACGACTAGTCATGCTGATCATCACTCCGGTGTCATTCACATTGACAGTCTTTGTAACCAAATCATTACTTGATATGAATTTTGCTGTTAAAAGGGATGATAAGTTGAACAATTTAAAAAAAAAGTTAACTTTAATGTATTACATAATTATGGTAGGGGAGACCGGGGACAATTGTAATACTTTATTCTTAGTCTGACATATCAACTTTATCATAATTAAATACTTACTTAAAGGTATATGTGAAATAAAAGATGCATATCTTGGCTTGAAATATGACTAAGACCCCGTTTACAGTGAGAAAAGGGCCCCGCAATTTTGTGCGTTTACAGTGCTAGGCCAGGCCGCGGCCTAAATTGTATCCTTTCAATATTTTGTCAGAGTGGCGCTCTGCATGTAAACAAACGATTATTTGGGGGGGGGGGGGGGCGCACCGGGGGTCACAGTGCAGATCCGGTCGCGCGCGATTTGCAGCGAATCTTTTCCCCAATTTCCTATACACGGCGAACTTTCACTTCCGGGGTAACAGTTGGCCGCGCATTTGGCCCTGCGTGCGTTAACAGTGAGAAAAGACGGGCCAGGCCGCCGCGGCCGAGACTACCTCCAGAGCAGGGCCAAATGCGCGGCCAGTTTGGCCTCGCATTTGGCCTTTTGCGCGTTTACAGTGCTTGGCCAGGCCTTTTGCTCACTGTAACAGGGGTCTAGGTTTGGGTTAAGTGAAACAAGTTTTTTTGAAGCCATTATCATTTCAAAACCGGAAGTCGAGTGTTACAATTGGCCCACTACACGGGGCATTTCTAACACTCCCATGGGACAATTAAACACATACAATAATTGTACCAACAAATCATATCCCTCAGAAAGATTATATTTCGTATTTTTGTATTAAGGGACCGCATTTCGGAGTTTCCGCACCCTCGACCCCACCAGGGGCCCTAAGGCGGGACCCTGAATGCTTATCTGACCGTCATTTATTGCCTTAAACCCCTGAGTTTCCGGGGGCGGACAAGGTATCAACATATGTGCATCTGACCGCAGGCGCGTAGCCAGGGGGCGGTGGGGGCGGCCCCCCAAATAAAAAGCAGACCAAAACAAGAGAGGATACAAAAAGGAAGAGGACGTAGGAAGAAAAAGGAGCAGACAAAAAAAATCATTTTTGAAATTCAGACAAGGATTAAGAGTCGAAAACGGTACAACGATTGTCTTCTTTCTCTAATAATTTAATGAAATGTCAAAGCCTTCGCGCAGGAGGGGAGGGGGTGGGTGACTGAACTGAGACAAGGATTAAGAGACGAGAACGTTACAGCGAATCGTCTTCTTTGTTAATTTTTTTTAATGAAACGTCAAAGCTTTCGCGCTTCGCGCGGGAGGGGGGGGGGGAATTGAATTGAGACAAGGGTTAAGAGTCGAGAATGGTAATACGAATCGTCTTCTTTCTCTAATAATTTAATGAAACGTAAAAGCTTCCGCGGTTCGCGCGAGAGGGGGAAACTGAATTCAGACGAGGAATAAGAGTCGGGAACGGTACAACGAATCGTCTTCTTTCTCTACTGATTTAATGAAACGTAATAGCGTCCGCGCTTTGCGCGGGAGGGCGGGGGGTAAACTGAATGCAGACGAGGATTCTTTTCGAGAACGGTACAACGAATGGTCTTGTTTCTCTAATAATTAAATGAAATGTCAAAGCTTCCGCGCTTCGCGCAGGAGATGGGGGAACTAAATTTAGACAAGGATTAAGAGTCGAGAACGGTACAAAGAATAGTCTTTTTTCTCTAATGATTTAATGAAACGTAAAAGCTTCCGCGCTTCGCGCGAGAGGGGTGAACTGAATTCAGACGAGAAATAAGAGTCGAGAACGGTACAACGAACCGTCTTCTTTCTCTAATGATTTAATGAAACGTCAAAGCTTCCGCGCTTTGCGGAGGAGGGAGGGGGAAATCGCCCCTTCCTGCAACCCCCCCCATTACGTCAATGCTGGTCACCATTACGTACCAATATTTGGCTCGCACAGGCGCGTATGCAGGGGGGGGGGTGTTGGGGTTAACCCCCCCCCCCCTTGAGTTTTTTTTATGTGTATGTTTTGCCTATGTTTTTTGGGAAGACTTAAAAAAGAAAGAAAAAAAAAAAATCCTTATAGATGACCTAAAAAAGATGTCCTTTTAAATCGTTGCGATTTTTTGGGACCCCCCCAAAAAAGGTGTCCTTTTACCACCCCCCCCCCCCGCTTATTCAGCGGCTGACTGAGTCGTTGCGATTTTTTGGGGACCCATAATTTCAAATTTGGGCCCCCCCCCTAAAAAATCCTAGATCCGCGCCTGTTTTCACGCAACAAAGTCCGGCACGTAATACACCCAAAATCGGCCCGTATTGACTTTATACACCGGACTTGGGGGGGGGGGGGGTGCTTTTAAAGGGAGGGAACATGCATACATGTATCCTAAATAACACTGAGTTGGGGTGCCGGGATGGGAGCCTCCCCTACCTACAGGTCACGCGCAGTGTAGCTACTCACTCGCTTTTATAGGACTATGCATTTATTTAACTGTTGATATATTTCAATTACAGGTTGAGATAATTTCCATGATTATAACATGGCAAATAGTATGTTGCATGTAAAAATCCATTTGAACTTTCCTTTGAAAATTTGAATGCACTGCATAAACAGCATTACCACAAGTAGGCTTGTTTCAGGCTCAATTCCATACCGCGCATGATTTGCATATGATAACAATTTTGTGCTATTTAAGTCTAAAACTTCTTAACAGTATCCTTCCCTAGAATCTCTAGAGTCATTGACATTATACATGTGAAATATCAAGCCATTGTAATATAGTCATTCTTCAACGAGTGCGAAAACGTCTTCAGCGATGCCATTTTATTGAATCTCTCTCGCTCCTGATCCTGAGTTATTTAACCGTCTTGCGGTATAAGCCTCTGTGCTGTCCGCAAAATATGTCCACAGTAGCGCATAGTTTTCAATAAGGATTATGAATGAAGTATATCAGAAGATACCACACATACAATTTCATCGCCAAAGATGCTCCCTGACTCTGCTGTTACAGTGTACCTTGTACAGTCTACAATTGAAGAATACATCTTTCAAAATAGGGAATTCCTATACTTATTATGATGAATGGAATAATAATCTTACCGTCATTTCGTCGGAAAAATGTAGTAACCCTTGTTACATCTCGACCAGGTTTAGAAGCCTCACAGTAGAAAGGACCGACACCATCTCTATCCCATCCATCTCCTGCAGGGAATATGACCTGTATGGCGGCTGAAAAAAGACTTGAAGTATGTTGCACACCTTCTGGGGGTGATCTGTCTGTTGTTATGGGTGCCGATCGACCAAATGATCGTGTAGCGTCTGTATCTGCTTCACTGAGGTAACATTGATACCGCAAATCGCTAGATGTATCTACATTGGTGTATCCCACGGTCAGCACTGCGATATGAACAACCTCACCTGGAATACCAAGAGAGATGTCTTTTTACAGTATACGGTTAACAACTGAATAGTTCAAACCCATCTCCAGTTTTGCCATTTTTTAAGTATGTACAAAATTGATTTGTCCCAACTCTATGTTTCTTGAGAATGTGACATATAAAAGCTTACATTAAAAGTATATAACAAAGGCCCTATTTCAACCAATCCACCTTTCTTTCTTGAGTTATAAACAGAAAAGAAAATTACAAGGGATATGAATAATGCAGTTGTTAAATGTTAATATATACTCATTTTCATTTTCAACATGGTTTGGATTTCAAACCATCAAGTAACTTATATCATATAATTAATGTACTAATTATCCCTTAAAGCAGGCGCGTACGCAGTTTTTTTTTCGAGGGGTGGGGGGGAGGTTAAAATGTTAAAATCACGCCGAAAATTTCGCAACGACTCAGCCAGCCGCTGAATAACCAGGGGGGGGGGGGGGATGGGGGTATTAAGATCAAGTTTTTTTGGGGGTCACCCGTTATCATTTTTTTTCTTTTCTTTTTTTAAATAAAACAAAATGCAAAGGGGGGGGGGGGGAGATTACTACAAAACATGCACATATCAAACCAACTTCCCCCCCCCCTCCTGTGTACGCGCCTGCCTTAAACAATAACATAACTGTAGAATAATCAAATCTAAATCAATTAATGGCCTATTGAGAAGCAAGGTGTGTGAGTGTCTTTGGGAAAACTAACGTTTCAAATACGGACGGAAGATATAATTAGGTGGTCTATATTCTTTCTTTATTCTTTCTTTTTATTTATTTCCTTCACTTTTTTGTCAGTCGGATAACTCAAGATCCTCTGGGTCAATTTCTTTGAATTTTGGCACAGTTATAGGTCATTGCCATAAAACATGACAGGAACATTTTCAAGGTCATCAAGTCTTTATGACGTCATCCAGGCGCCATTTTGTGAAATTTTCTGAAAATCAACTCATGATCATATCTTCATAATGGAAAGTCATTTCTCATTCATATTTATCAAGAACAAGGTCAATATCCGTCCGGTCAATTTCAGGTCAAAAAACGCGCGCGCATGCGTACATCCGCGCGTTAGCGCTCGCGCAAAATTTCAAAATGCTCCAAATCATCTCAAATTCATTTTGGATACGTTTCAGGCCATTCTAAGCATTTCGCAAAAAACGTGCACACGCGCATGCGCGCGCGTTTTCGTGCGTACTGGCATTTTGCAACATAAAATCGCCGAATTTTTTCTGTCATCATATTTAGCACATTTTCAGGCACTTTGATACCTTGTTTATCTTTTTCTGACCAGTAATAACGGAATGAGCGTCCGTTTAAATACATGTCCGTGCGTGTGAGCTCTTGTAGTGCATAACATATATGGGCAAAAACATGCGTATACAAAATTCATTGTAACTCTTTAGAATGGATGGGAACTCCCTAATCTTTTCCATATTTGGATAAATTATGAGTCGGAGATATGATTTCATGTCTCACCTGACCCTCAATTAACTCATGACATCATCATAATGGCCTCCGAACTCAAAATTTAAATTTGCATATTATGACGTCAGCATATTTTCGGAAAATTGATTGTATCCCTGTAAATATTGATAGATTTTCTACCAAAATGTTCTAGCTGAGACAATTCTCTACAAATGTAGTTGATTTTTCATATTGACAAAGGCATCATGGCGTATTTTTGCGATTAAAGGAGACATGTCAATTTTTCACATTTTGCGTGTATTCTCTATGGGACACGACTTTTCCTCAAAACTGGATTCTACATTCCCGTCTTTCAATTCAATTCATTTATTCAATTCAATTCATTTATTTTTCCTCTTTCAATCGTTCATATTTACAATGATGGTACATTTTAACATATTCACGTATTTATATACATACAGATCAATTTGCACAATACAATACATTAACAAAATAAACATGAAATTGAAAGGGAAGGAGGGCCGACTAAAAAGCAGAGCTTGTAGGGTGTAAGCCCCCCTGTAACAGTTATCATGAATTATTATTTGATGATAACAAAAACCAAAACAATAACAATAACTGATTAGGTAATACAAAAAATAACTTTTAAACGCAAATAATTGATAAATACATACATGTTTATAAAAAGAAACGATTAAAAATTACATAAAGTCACACTACAAATTATATTTGATTAAGGAATGCAATAGCCTAATAACTATTCAGAAGAAAGCTTTTTAAGTCTCCATTTGAATATGCCAGCTTTAAATTCAGAGCGTACATTTGAAAAAAAGTTGTCAATAAGAGTTGCCGAAGTATTGGTTATTCTAATGGGTCTAAAAATAAGTGGCAAGAAAGAGGCAGAAAGGAATGTCTCTAAAAAAATCAAGTGCCTGAATATTAGCATCACTCGTTAAGAGATCATAGTTGAAATCTCCCATTATGATACACTTTTTGTTTTGAACGGAGTGATAGTGTAATAAATTATTCAAAGTGTCCAGAAAATCAGCTTGATTGCTCTGAAGTGGCTTGTATACCTGAGTGTTGGCTCAGTCAGTAGAGCGTCCGCCTCACAACCGGGAGGTCGTGGGTTCGAACCCCGGCCGCGTCATACCAAAAGACGTTAAAAGATGGGAGTTGTTGCTACCTTGTTAAGCGTTCAACAATAAGGGATAGAGCAACGTCGATCTGGCGCTGCTCAGTGGCTGCCGGGCTCACGATCAATTAGGCAAAAAGAATTTCCGTTTCGGTTTAATAAAGTGGACTATTAGGCTATTATTATTATTATTATTATTATTATTATTATTATTATAAACAACTCCCAAGATATTTTTCTTCTATTGCGATCAGTAATTTCAATAAACAAAGTTTCTGCAATTTCATTCATCACTTTCATGTCTTCGATTATAACATATTCAAATTGACTTGGCACAAAGAATGCAACACCACCACATATTTTGTTTGTACGATTATTTGTAAGTATATCATATCCAGGGAGAGAAAAAAGTGTTTTATTTTGATCTGAAAGCTACGTCTCAGTTACGCCTAATACTGTATTTTGGGGAACTCCTGTGTTAGCTGGAAACAAACAAAATTGTTCATAATTCTTGTTGAGACTTCTAACATCAAGATGTAATATAGAAAAGAGAGAATCAGGTATACTATTGAAAATATTTTTGCCCGAGGACTCAGTATAATAGTTTGAGGAAATGAGACCCGATTCCCCGAAGCATTATCATTTGGATCCAATCCACATTTCAATTCATCATTATTAGCACATAATATATCCTGTGTGACATTATCAGAACCACTGGAAATGTTCGTCATCGTGTCAAAGTCAGTCATTATTTACAGATAAACTTATGAATGTACAACAAGGCAAAAGCATACTAGGCCCTACTTAATTTTGTTGAGATCCTCTTCTCGATGGATGGCTATCGGTGGCATATTGGGGTTCTTCCTCACCAGGATGGTGCCATTCACAGTCCACAGGAATTTCCAGCCAGCCTTCTTCCTTTCCTCATTCACCTTCCTCAGTAGTGACCTCGTTGCCGGGGCAAGATTTTCGTTGATGAACATCTTCCTCTCATCTCTTGAGAAGCCCAGCTCCCGAGTATTTGTCTCCCGCAGCTTCTTTCGACCAACATACACAACATCTCTCATCCTCCTGGTTGTAAATCGTACTATGATTGGTCTTGGACTTGAACCAAAAACACCTTCCCTCTTACGGCCTAGACGATAGGTTACATCAATGCCGGTGTAGTTCACCTCTTTCGCGAGCAATATCTCCGTCGTTTAGCTTCGTTTTCGCTGAGCTTCGAGTATGTTGTGGCTGAGACAATATTTCACTTGCAAAGTGGGATTTGAGAATTTCATTTTCCGTTCACGTGTAATCGCTGAGGGAAATGTTTTGGTATATCGGTAACGCACTTGACTTCCGACCTCGAAATCTTTGGTTCGAGTCCGGGCGTCTCCCACAATTTTTTTCTTCACTTTTTTTTTCTTTTTGACTTTCCACTGATCCTAAGAATTGAAGACAGACCACCTAATTCGTCCTCATGACGAATTAAATTTCTAGTTTTAATAATATTGCGTATTTCCATAGCACGTGCACCGATCCAGCAAGTAAGGGGCTCAATGCGCTCAGACTATATACTACGGCTAGGCTACCGATTTCGGTGCTCACAGCATTCAAATAATTCCTTTATACCTGTACCCATTTAAAGCCCATCTGTACTAGTGTAAAGGAGGGATTATACCATCCTGCAAGGTCACTGGACAGGTGGTTATCTCATCAACTCAGCTCTCAAATAACATAAGAAAAAGAGGATTGTGGGGGCACCGATTAGGCATTGTTTGTTATATAGAGGACGCAAGTAGCTACAAGTAGTGCAGTGGGGCATTAAACACTTGGGAGAAGAGTGGCAATTGCAAATTGTGTTTCTGAAAGGACTCGCATCCACGACTTTCCTATCTCCAGTCATGTTTTAGGCCACTCGAGTATGTCTATATTATGCTTAATCGAATATTATTGTCTTATCAGCTAGGGTCCTTTACTAGAAAAGAAGTACCAATAATTGTAACCGTGATAAATTCAAATGAACTTTATGGTATAATTCCATTCTTATTAAATCAGTTCATGTTCATGTTTGAACTTCATTCATAGATTATGCCATCTTTAAATATTCGCTTTATTACAGTGCGGAAAAAATTGTTGCAAAATTAGTTGCAATTCTCTGAACTGACAATCAATTAAATGCTTCTATATACCTGCTTTCAAAAAATACATTACCTACGCCATGTTTTTCAGTATGACATTTAGGGTAAAACAAGTTGCATTTCGTTTCATGCTCAAACCGAGAGAAGAGTGGGGTTTGCATTCAAGCACTATCACCTTTCTTACTGCCCGGTAAGAACGATACAGTAATATGATTCTAACAATTAAAAGCATATCCCAATAGACAGGCAGAAAGAAGTGCGTAGTAGCTTTATAGCGACTACTCATTATTAAGATCTTACCTTTAGACAATATACTACATGTATTTTGCATTTTGGAATACTACAGAGCTTTTTGAAATTGAGAGAAAACAAGCGTGTCTTTAATGATGCGAATTTTGTTGAAGTTCGGTCAAATGTTAAGTGAACTAGATTGGCATGATTGTATACAAATTGAAGATGCTAATGTCAACTACAACAGCTTTATTTCAGTGTTCATGGCTTTATACAATGAATGTTTACCTTTTACCACCATACTACTTGCCTAAAAAAAAATCCAATAAAAGACTTAAGCTTTATAGAAAATACTTAAACAAACCTACTAATGAAAATAAAAACCAATACAATTCATATAGAAATATTGTTACTAGGGAAATCCGCAAAGCAAAGAAAAATTACTATAATCAGAGATTTAAAAATTTGAATTGTAACATGTCAGGGACATGGAAAGTGATAAATAACCTATTGAGAATGAAAAACAAAACAAAAATTCCTGAATTCAAACAGGATATTGAGACTATTAATGATGAAGCTGTTGCAGAAGGTTTCAATGATTACTTTGTTCATGTAGCGCAAATAATGCGCATTGAAGTAAACAATGTAGCCCATCCTACTTTTTCCCATACTGCTCATATTGAAAACAACTCGCATTCTTTTCTTAACTACATATATGTGATCATCATCATTACCTGTACTTGTACCACCTTTCATTTTGTCTACAATATTTGTAATTTCACTTTCATGTATACAGGAAAGTGAAATTATCAACATCATCGTATCCTTGACTTGTACCACCTTTCATTTTGTCTACAATATTTATAATTTCACTTTCATGTACATGAAAGTGAAATTATAAATATTGTAAGTCCAGGATATGATGATGTTCACATATTTGTAGTTAAGAAAATTATTCACTTGATTAGTAAACCCTTATATGCAATATTTAATGTTTCTTTTAACAAGGGAATATTTCCTGATAAGTTAAAAGTTACGAAGGTTATTCCAATATTTAAGAAGGGTCAATCTAATCTGTATTCAAATTATCAGCCCATTTCTCTCCTTCCTATATTTTCAAAGATTCTTGAGAAATGCATGTACAATCGACTTGTCACTTTCATTGAAAGATTTCAGATGCTTTTCAGTAATCAATTTGGCTTCAGATCAAAACACTCAACCTCTTCTGCTCTCATTGAACTTATTCATACCATCACAAGAGCTATGGAAGCTTAAAATATATCTATCGGTGTGTTTTTGGACCTTTCAAAGGCCTTTGATTGTTTAAATCATAAACTATTATTAGCAAAACTATTTTGTTTAGCCATCAGAGGTATCCCTTTGAAATATTCACTGTTTACAATAAAAACCAATCTGATATGCAAAATATCTCATGCGGAATTCCGCAAGGTTTAATTATAAACCCTCTACTTTTTCTAATATATAAATGATATTCATAAATGTTCTTCCAAACCTAGTTATATCCTCTTTGCAGATGACACTGCAATTTATTTATCAAACAAAGAGGAAGAAACCCTAATTCAAACTTTAAACCATGAACTAGAACATGTCGCTCATTGGCTCAAACTTAACAAGCTACTACTTAATGCAAACAAAACTCATATGATGATTTTCACCAAAAGAAATATTGATATTTCCAACTATAAGGTATATCTAAATGGCTCTGAAATCACAATAGTATCTAACACAAAATTTCTAGGAATTCAAATTGATGACAAATTGCGTTGGCATGACCATGTAAATTACATATGGACAACAATTCCACGAAATATTGGTGTTACAATGAACAAACTAAACTATATGCCTAGAAATATTTTGTTATCTCTAAACTACACACTCATTTACCCTTTTCTTATATATATTGCAATATTGTCTGGGCCTCAGCTTCTCAAGAAAAACCGTTGAGACTATATAGATTGCAAAAAAAGAGCAGTGAGGATAATTTGTAAAATGCCTTTCTTTACCTCCACTAAAACTTTATTTACTCAATTAAACTATTGAATGTATTCGATTTATATAATTTAAGACATTTTTATGTTCTCTTGTCAGAGACAGATCTTGCCATTATCCCTGACACGCTATTTTTCCATTAACTCTAGTCAATCCACTCCCACTGTACTCGTTCAAATGCAGATTTTCACATCCCATATGCTAGAACTTCAGTTTCTCAAAAGACTTTTTACTATGCAGGTCCCAACTATGGAATGCATTGCTACCTAATCTAAAATCTGCATGTTCTGAGAATGTTTTCAAGTGACAATACAAAGAAAGGCTTTTACAATCTTATTCACATTGAGTCACCTGTTGTTTGTTGTTTATGTCAATGTTAATTGTTATATCCCTGGTTTGTATGTTGTTTTGTTTTTTATTTTTTATTTTTATTTTGTATTTTGTATGTATTATTATTCTGCTTGGGTCTATTTTCATCCTATTTATTAACTTTACTTCTCATCTTGCCTTTCTCTCCTTCCATTTTCCTTCCTCTTCCTCTTCCTCTCTCTCTCTCTCTCTCTATCACTCTCTCTTGTCTCTCTCTTACCCAGCTATTTATGCATTCTCTCCCTCTCGTTGTTGTACATGTAACAGTATGCAATGTAATGTATACTAACGGGGTCGAATTGACAATATCTTTAAATAGATCTTTAATCTGATCCCCACTCAATTTATGTTACTTGTGCTGTCAACTACTGTTTTTTTTTACTATGTCCATCTTTTGTATATTTGTTATACATGTATGCGTTTATTCGCAATTCTATGTATCTGTTTTTATATTGAGTGAATAAATGATTTGAATTTGAATTTGCATTTAAATATAAATACACGTTGAATTGTTATTTTGACTGATTTTGTTAATTTCCTGATATTCTTGTAGGGGCTACTGGTTAACCAATTATCTTTTTAAGGGGGTGCGTCCCCTCTACCCTTTGTGATCACCCAACCTACATCAGAAGTAAATCCTCTATATGGAATAACTAAAAAAAACATCTCTCTATCGATTGTAATACAAAGGTCACAACAAAGTTTGTGGTGATCGTGGACATTATGATTTGCATTGTTTTATCATGTGTCTGGTTATAAGATATTTATATATATTTGATGCGAGGCAGTACATGTAGCACCTGAGCAAGAAGTCTAATAATTCCCATGAATATCTTGATAGAATAAAAAATAAAAATGGGAACACCCCCGAATCACCGACACTAGAAGCAAGGTAAACAGACATCTCACATATTTTAACAAGCATTTCTCTCGCCATACTTCTGAATAGGAAATTTAACTCTGTATAAGTTGAAAAGGACCGGGATTTCCCCTTCAAGCATTGAACTTTTTTCTTTCAAGGACAAAAGTAAACATACTGTAACTGACCCCCCCCCCCCCAACACATGATCGACGTAGATCACAACCTTGTAGCATGATCACTGAGGGAGGGTAAACTACGTTGACAGTTTGCTTTTAATAAGTATTTGAATCTAATTTATTGTTCAAAGTCTACTCAAATAAATCCAAAGTCCATTTGCATAAACAATAGGCAAATAATGTCAATAGCAATATCATTTCAATTTCTAATTATTGTCCAATATTAGAAATTTGTTTTGCTCACATTTTACAAACGTACACAGAATCAACATAAGTTTACATAAACAATATATCAT